GAATGAAAAAAATTAAAGGGAGAAGTATACATCCCCATCGTACAGTTTCATAAGTAAAGTAACTCTTCTTCTTACCGTTTTTCCTGGTAGGCTGTAGGTGCCCTGCAGGGAAAGCTACTAGTTGTGAACTAGAATTCTACCGGTTTGCGTTTCAGCCGAACTAGTTCACGTTCTATCCTTTTTCAATGTTAGCGACTGGTATTTTTAACATTGCGATGTCCTACGAGATGTCAATTGTCAGGCTATGCATCAGCATCTACTAGTATAAATACTAGTAGCATCATACCAGTTGATGAGATAGTCTGCCAATTCATTCCCCGTGAAAAGCATAAGTGTGCCTTTTCGCTCGCGACGCTCCAGCAGTCACAATGGCCGACAGAGAAGAGCACTCGCGGGGTAAGCCTGAGGTCCCAGGTTCAAATCCTGGCGCAAGTAAAATTTTTTTATTTTTTATTTTATTATTTATAAATTTATTTTTTTGTTTATGCTGTTTATTGCAATATTTTAATTTAATAAAAAAAATATTTTTGTTTAATTCCTTTGTTTTTATATTTCTTCCTAAATGTTTTTTGCAACGCGATTAGATTTTCAAATTGAATAAATTATTTTTACTTACATTTATTTAACTTTAAAAATCTTAACCACCTCCAAGCGGCCTCGAACCTACGATTTCAGAACCAGAACCAGTAGTCTTCACGTGACGCCACAGTCGAAATTTGTAAGAAAAGCAATTAATTGCGTTTTATTTTTGGCTTTGGCAATTCAAAGGCAGATGTCGCTGATCGCCTAAGTTCTTCGAAATGTTAATGAACTAGTATTTTTTCTAACTGGTTTGGCTTTTCACTGCAGGGTGTGTATTTGGCAGGCTGTTGGTGTGTTTTTGGTTAGTGTATTGGTGTTTTTGGTTCAATGTGTTAATGTATTTTGAATAAATTGTAATAAAAAAGGAAAAATTATAATAGAAATGAAAGAAATTTTAAAAGATAAGAGCATATGCCAAAAAACAGCTGATCTCAGCTGTAGGCATTTTTTGGCAATCAGCTGATAGTGTTTTTACTTAGGAAACTGTACGATGTACGTGCCTTCTATAATTTTGACTTATATGTATATTTGGCAAGTCTTTGTGTAAACAACAAAAAATACACATTTTCATTTCTTTGCCAGCTTGGAAAATATAGGCAAGTTTGTTATCATAGTTCTTTGTATTTTTATTGTCCACTAAACGTGAGTGGCTTTTATTTAAAAAGTTCTAGTACAAAGAATTTCTTTGTTTTGAGTTTGTTTGTTTATAGGTTTTAATCAAAATGTATTCAACGAAGTGTGATTGAATTGAACATTGCTCTCAGAAGAACCATCCTATAAAGTCAAATTGAAAAAATTATGTAAGAATTTTAAATCGATTGTTTATATTTTTTGGCATAATAGTACCTTAAAAGAGAGCCTAACTGAGTTGTAAGTCGCTCCTTGTTTAATACACCTTGGTTTTAATTTTTAAAATTCATACATTTGGTATGTTAATGGCGGAGTTGCCGCTTTCCCCCTTTTCGGTGGGGTTTTATATTAAAACGGCATCAAAATGGGAAAAAACCGCCTTGTATCCCTGCATCTGTTAAACTTTTTATGGGAAGATGTATGAAAATCCAACTTGCTATAATTTCATATGCTTAACAGTTTCACAACAGTATGTTTACAGTATCTCCCCATAATTGTTCATATGAAAAAATATATTATNTTGTATCTCTGCATCTGTTAAACTTTTTATGGGAAGATGTATGAAAATCCAACTTGCTATAATTTCATATGCTTAACAGTTTCACAACAGTATGTTTACAGTACCTCCCCATAATTGTTCATATGAAAAAATATATTATATGCATCCCACTCGATATCATTGAATTCCTCATTGGAACATGTAGTCCCTCTATTTAGCCTACACTCAGAAAAAGGTTTAGTTATAATTACCAACATTTGATTATAGTGACCAAATGGCATAGTTGGATATGGCGAAATAAATATCTAGTTCACGAAAGTCTGCAATTTACTTGAGACTTCTAGTTGGGACAAATGTATATTTGTTAATAATTACAAAACGACTACCTTGATTTGACAATATTGTTAGTTGAATAAAATCATTGTTGAGCAAATATAAACAATGCGTTGGTTGATACAAGTTTTCAATTAATTTTGTGAACTTACTGTAGACTTGAATCAGCTAACCGTTTATTATTGGAAAAAAAGTTTCAGTTTGACACAAATAAAAATTTACTCGATGTTTGTTGTGTTTACTTTCTTCTTTTATTTGCATATATTAAGCATAAAAAATACGTACATATTTACATAAGTTAGTTACTAAAGTAAATAATATATATGTATATGGTTGTAAGAATTTCCTAAAAAACAACGATGAAACAGGAGCAGTCGTGCGAAAACCCAGGTCAATATCTGCTGGAAGTGCTGGTTTAAGTATACTGCTTTGCTTTTTCCTTGGCTAAATAGACACTTTCAAATTATAATCCACATGAATTATATATCCACTGAAAAAGCCCGGTTGGCATCAAACTTTATACACTGAGAAAAAGGATTAGTTTTGATAACTAAAAATATTTAGTTCCCGAATTTTGACAATATTTGGGAACTGTTACCATGGGTTGGTAATTATACCTAAATATATTAAAGCTT